CTTACTTACTCGCCCCTGGAACCGTATTGGTCCGCAGTCTCAAAAAGGAGTGTTGTCACACAGAACAAGAATTTTGGTAAAGCCCGCCCCTTCAGTCAATCTCCGCCCACTACCTTTTTAGCTTGTTGACTTCTAGCAATTTTGTGACTTTTATGTTGCAAACTTGAGCTAGTGTCTCCCGATAGAATATTGGAAGCGGCAACAGCATCGGGATATAAAACCTGCCGTGATGCGAAATATTCTTGCAAAATGAAAATCGTATCCTGAATTTGCGCCATCTGGGTCAACGAAACATTGCGGAATTGGTTATCTGGTACCAGACTAGCCTGTGAGGGTAAAAACACTGATTCGCACGTTAGTTGGTCCACGCAAGCCTTTGTGTCAGCCAAATCGCACTCAGATTTGCAACACTATTTTGAATGTACGTAAAACGCGTGGCGCATCAATAATAGGGCGACGCCAAATGCTTCATCCTTGTCTCTGATAGTATTAATTAATTGGGATTCATTCCTAAACGACGTTTCCTTTGGAGCCTTCTAATAATCTACGGTGAAGCCCTTTATACCTGGCTAAATAATAGAAATATCGTTGTGCTTAAACAGTTCGTCAAATGACGGCATTCCATAACGAGAAAACCCCATGCAACTAATTTATGAAGAGGTCTATTCGAAAAGGGACTTCAGAGGGGTGAATTTCTCTCGGCTTCCGAACATATGAGAACTAAAATGGTAAAGCCCACAGTCGATATAAGGTGTATTGTGATTGGAGAAAACTCGCACCAAGCATCCTCTCTGGATCAACTCTGGGCCACGTAGTGTAAGGGACGCCCTGAAAATTCCAAAATTCCAGGTCTACTTCCTAGGCGGGGGAGGTGGGCGCAATAAAAAATGGCACATTGTCCCCATGTTTTAATTAATTTAATCACATTTCGCCGAGCACAAACTGAATGCTTCCAACTCAAAAGTGAGCGCATTGCATTCAATTGAAGAGACTTTGTGGTGACCTTCAACATGGCCAACATCAGGAAAGTCTGCCACAGAAACATGGCGCATGGACCGAGACGCCATGCCATCGACGGAGTCTCGATTGATCGTGTTCCATCATCCTTAAACGCTGGTTGTGAGGGAGTTTGCATATTCACAACTAATGTGTCCAACAGTGAAGCGATGCCGGAAATTTTGCGAGAGCCTCAGGTTGGAGCAACCACGGTGAATTTCCTTGGGCTCGAAGTTGATGCACATGACATTATAATTTGAAGATGATGAGGGCAGTGAATGAGGGCTGCGTCTGGTTATACGAGGACCTTCGAGGAATATTCGCTGTACTTCTGCCTGCAATTTTTGTGACGAGAAAATGCGAGGGCATTGAATTTACGCGGAGTGAATTCTATAAGTAAGCATGTACATATTATATATCTGTACATGTACATATATTAGGTATTTCGGAAAGTAACGTGGGTTTCGAATATTTTTACACTAAATTTTCTTTGAGACCTGAAGCCCTGTATATCACCGGCAACCCATATTCCACGATCTTCCCTCCACTAATTGCATTTCCATTCTACTTATTACATTGGGGTTTTTTTTTATAGAGTTGAACTGAAGGTGTCAATACAGTGTTCGGGTCAATACAGTGTTTGATTTTGTTGATGAAGTTTCTGCCTGTCATTTGGATTTTGACGCTCTCTTTAAAAAGTCAACACAATAGGGCGCACACGAGGTCATAACTACAGGCCTCAGAGAGAGAAAACCAATCCCAACGAATTCCGAGCTTATTCACTCAAACAAATTACCTCCTTTTGGAATGATTTGCCACCCTCTGTCGTAAATTCAAACTCTTCAGAAGAAA